AGTTAAAGCAACAAAGCGTCAGCATAGACAGTGCCATTTGTTATATCGCCAGAACTGGCCTCCCTCAGTATCCCACAATGCCCACTGTGACCGCTCTGCTCAGTGTCTTGAGTTCAGCTGCCCAGCAGGCATGCACCCCCTCCCTTTTCAGAGCTCCGGGAACATGGGCAGCGGGTATCCTTACGTAGGCAGGGGTACGCTGTGCCTTCCCAAACAGCCTAGCGTGGCCCTGCCCACACTCCACCCCCAGGCCAGGCCCCCTCCTGCAGTTCCCAGAGCGCTCTGCCTTTTCGAGCCCAGGCTGGCTGGGGCTGGCTGGCCTGCCTCCAGCAGGGAGTCAGAGCAGCTGGTGCTGGGCCATGCCATCTGGAGGCTGGCTGCGCCGCCCAGAGCACCGAGCCTGGGGCCTCACCCCCGGTCGTCCAGCACTGGGGCCAGGGGCTGTGGTGGGGATGCTCTGAGCTCCTGCAGGGGAGGGGGGACAGAAGGGGGGGCATATGGGGCAGGGCCTTGGGCACAAGGGGAGGGGCTGGGGGCTAGCTTCCCCCAACGGCCTTGTCACCGGCCGCCCATGAGCTCGTTTCTATTTTCCGCTGTCCTGCAAAACACGGTTCAGAACAGAGAGGGGTTTTGGTCACACTGCTTTGTCCTTTTGTGCAAAAAGTCTGAAGAGCTTAAGACCATTTGGCTCAGCAGAGTCCTTACTTTTGCAAAACAAAGTCCTGCTGTCTTGTTAATACCAGCTCAAACCAATGCCATGCTCACGCCAATCTCAGCTAACAGCTAAAATCATATTGAAGCCTTTCACCAGTGTTAAACCTGTATCTACAGCATCACCCAGCTCTCCCCCCAAGACCAGGCCCGGGAGAGCTGCCCCAGCATCCACCCCAATGACTGCTCTGGAAGACATTTCTTAATGGCTGTTTTTATGGCTCAGTAATGCAGACGTTGTTGCTTTAAAAATGCATCACAAACAGTGAAAGCGAAAGCTTCAGAGACTTGGTGGTGAGGAGAAGGGAACGCACGGGCTCAGTTGCCAGCTGACCGTGACAGGGAGAGACACTTCCCCCCTAGTCCAAACAGTGCCCCCACTACAGGTCCCCCCGCCAGCACCCCCCAGGTACCCTCTGCACACACACACTCCTCCGGCTGCCCCAGACACCCCTCCAGCACCCCTAAATACCCCTCCAGCACTCCCCAGGTACCCTCTCAGTACACGCACCTCTCCAGCTCCCCCACATACCCTGCTAGCACCCCTAGGTACCCTTCTCAGTACACACACACCCCTCCAGTACCCCCAAATGCCCCCTCCAGCACCCCCTTTCAGCATATACACTCCCCTCCAGCACCCCCAAATACTCCAACAGCCCCCAGGTACCCCTCTCAGTACACAGACACCCCCACCAGCACCCCCAACTGTCCCACCTCCCCCAACCCCACCCCCTTTTTGGGAATCTGAAATATGTCAACCCTAGGCGAGGTAGAGAGAGGTGGAACCAGAGCGATTGTGGGGTGCTGGCTAGGAAAGTGGGAGCCAGAGATGGGCTATGGGGTGACGGGGGAAATGGAGCGTAAAGGAAGGGAGAGAGGTTCCTGGAGCCGACAGAGGAAGATCAGGGCCAGAGAGAGGCAGGATTGACTGATGCAGTTATTCCTCTATATGGATTTTAGGGTGGGGCTATCATCAGGCTTATACCAGCGATTCACTTGCAACCTTCACTGCCGTGCACTGGCCACCACTCCATAATATCTAAACTAGTGGAGGTTTGGTAATTGCTAGCCCTTGTGGTTGCAAAGCTAATCTTACAGCCAGAACTACATGCAAACTAGTCTGGTGTTGTCTTCAGCAGACAGCCTGAAATTACAGCTGGGAGGCTTTAACTCCCCTCCCTCCTGCGAATCATATCAGAGCATTCAAATGTCATAGTTAAACTGTAGCATTAACATCAGCACTAATTAGTTCAGTTCTGAATTTTTGTGGCTGATGGGAAGCAGTGAAGCCGAGTTCTGAGGCTGCTTCTTTGTCAGCTCCTATTGGCTTCAGTTTCTTTAGTCCCTGGGGTTGTCTCCCTCCAGCCTCCCACCCCGGGGATCATTATTGTTAACAATAAACCACCGCCATCTCCCCCATATTACCCTAACGTCTTCTGTATAGTCAGGTTTCTTCCCTCCAGACCCCTTAGAATGATAGACTCATAGAAGATTATGTTGGAAAAGACCTCAGCAGGTCATCCAGTCCAACCCCCTGCTCAGAGAACCTGGCTTGCACACACATTGATTGTTTCTCACATGTACATCTCTCTCTGTCTGTGTGATGCTTTTGCCAGGGACAGAACAGGAATGGAGTCTTAGAACTTAGTAAGTAATCTAGCTAGGTATGTGTTAGATTATGATTTCTTTAAATGGCTGAGAAAAGAAGCTGTGCTGAATGGAATGGATATTCCTGTTTGTGTCTTTTTGTAACTTAAGGTTTTGCCTAGAGGGATTCTCTATGTTTTGAATCTAATTACCCTGTAGGGTATTTACCATCCTGATTTTACAGAGGTGATTCTTTTTTACTTTTTACTTCTATTAAAATTCTTCTTTTAAGAACCTGAATGCTTTTTCATTGTTCTTAAGATCCAAGGGTTTGGGTCTGTGTTCACCTATGCAAATTGGTGAGGATTTTTACCAAACCTTCCCCAGGAAGTGGGGTGCAAGCATTGGGAGGATTTTTTGGGGGAAAGACATTTCCAAACAATGCTTTCCTAATAAAATAAACCCGGATAAATATTTGGTGGTGACAGTGGAAGTCCAAGGGCAAAAGGTAAAATAGTTTGTACCTTGGGGAAGTTTTAACCTAAGCTGGTAAAAGTAAGCTGAGGAGGTTTTCATGCAGGTCCCCACATCTGTACCCTAGAGTTCAGAGTGGGGAAGGAACCTTGACACCTCTGTAAACAGCTGGCCTGATGATTCCATAGTCTGGCACGACTCCCTCTGAAGCCTAGATTTTTAAAGCTCATGTGTGCCTGAAACACACCCTTTCCGAGACTGGTTTGTACTGCAATTTGAAAATGGATCGGCTGTGTGTGTAATGGTAACAGTGCCTCCCAGTGGACAGTCTGGTTAATTTCATATTAGATATTCCTATAGAAACAGCTCACACGTTAGACTGATGTTTTCCCTGCCACATTTTCTATACTTATCTGTAAAGAGGGAGCTGGCCTTCCCTCTACCAAGAAGGCACACATCACTTTATCAATACCTTCCTTGCAACGGGGAGCACAGGGCAAGCTCCATGCCGCTCATGCAGGTGCCAGAATGCTGTAGAGACAAAGCAAGATATCCCTGGCTTTATTATAATCTGTTGAATTATGACAAAATCCACGTGACAGATTAGTTCTGGAGAAGGTTAAAAGAATGAAGAGACTGAACAGCAATTTAGAACTATCTTAGCATAGAGAATTCAGGACACTAAGGCCAGATTCAGTTATGAAGGACAAGATTAAGATGTAGCCATGACTTGTGAGAGTGTTCGGAGGGTGGGGAGGGGTGAGCATTACAGGAGTGCATGTCAGTTAGATAAGGAAATGGTGGTTGTGATTACAACCTGAATACATTTCATTCAGACTGTAAAAGGAAACCCTGGGCCGAATAGGAAGTGAATAAAGACCAGGAGCTGAGAACATTGAAGGATTTTTCAGTGATGGTCATTTTCCCAAGGGGAATCAAATTTGTCCTCCTGCCCTGCCCCAACAGACAATCATCTGGCTAGGCTGAAAGCATGAGAGCAGTTTGGGCGCTCTAAAGCCCGTCCCATTGTCCTTTTGTACACTAAGTATTCCCTAAAATGTATCCCAAAAACCTCCAGCCCCAGACAGAACTTTGACTTAGGAAACTCACAAGGCTCTGTACTAGATGCACAAGGGAAGACTCATCAGCAGGTTGGGAAATGGGGGAGAGGGGCAGTTTCTAACACCCTTCTTGGGCTTCCTTTTTCATTCTACTAGTTCTAGAAAGAGAAGTCAAGAACAATCCCCTTGGACTAATACTAATGACCATTTACTATATGGAGCACTTTATGAATGCTTGTCACTGCCCTCCAAGGTCTTTGTTATGGTGCAAGGAGACCAGAGGCCAAGTGACCAGCTCAGCTTTACAGAGGGGGAAGCAGGGGTGTCGAGTGCGGCTGGAAGACTTGCTATTTAAAGAAACAAGAGCTGCTTTGAAAAAAATGTCTTGATATTTTATCATTAAGGAGGCACAAAATGAACCCACCAGCCCTCTACCAAGAGGATGGATGGGAATTTAGGAACTTTAATGAGATTAACTGGGAAACACACTTCTCTAGGACCTGAAAGCCCATAGTAGGCTTGAGGAATGACTGTGGGTGAGCATACACCATGGGCTGCTTAGATTAATTACGTCACGGCAGTGATGACATAGGCCTTATAGCACTGAAGTGCCTGAACTTCTTGTCTTTCCTGAGTGGCACAGACATTATGTCACACTGCTTAGTGGACACAGCATTCCGACAGCGGTCACGCCAGTGCCAAACACCGAGAGAATAGAACCCCTTTACTCCCATGTGAGAGTCCTGTTTACACATCTCTGGCATGCCAGGGTACAATCCAGGCTAATGAGCAGCTCTGTCACCCCCCAGCCCTGCAGCCTTGAGTGCCTTACAAAGTCTCGCCAAAATAATTCCCACCTGGGCCACTCACAAACAGCCTAAGAGCATGAAAGCCAGCCCTGAGTGTCAGTGTGTAACTGCAGCCTGTCAACCACACCTGGGTTACACTCTGGCTCTCACCAGCCTGGGTTATACAGCAGGGTGACCCCAACACACACCCAGTCTTAGATTTTCTCCCAGAAATCTATGTCCTGTACTGCCCAGCCCTCTGCTGGACACTACAAATTATATTAAGTCCATTATACCTCTAAGATTATTCCTGTGCACACTATTTACCACCCCAAAAGAGAGTTACCCAGATACTTCAATTTAAACAGACTAGACTAGATAAAACAATAAAACAAGTTTATTAACTACAATGAGAGATTTTAAGTGAATCCAACTAATGAGGAATAAAAGTCAGAAATGGTTACAAAGAAAATAAAGATGAAACATTTACTAGTGCCTAACTTAAACTATATCCTCTTCAAGCAAAGTTTCTCACCACATGCTTTCAGCTGCCTTCCAGATCAAACTGTGTACATCAGACCCTCTTCCTCAGCATCCAGTGAATGCTTCCTTTCTCTCTTCAGGTGTAGTGAATGCCATGGGCAGGAAAGGAGGGGTTGTCCCTCCTTTTTATAGTTTCAGTCCCACTCTTGAAAAACATTTCCAGCTGCGGACTAGGACACACAGAGTTTATGTGGAAGGACTGGCTCTTCCTCACACCTTTGAGCTTCCTTTGTTTCCCTTCTTCTTGAAGACGATTTACTGATTAAATGCAAATTCAGGGAGGCACATTCCTTTCTCGAGACCACACCTGGTTGCCATCTTCTGCGTGAGCAAGGCTGTGGAGGTTGGGAACACGGGTCAGTAATATCATACAGGGAAATCTTATAAAACTTTACATACAATGTTGAGACACATATCTTATCAGGACAATCAACAACTTGTGAGTTTTCAAATTATACCTCACAAGGCATACTTTGTACAAAGATTATTACAATAGTATGTAGGGTGTGAATACAGGAACGTATTTGGTCCCAGCCTCATTACTACATGTGGCAGGGAGTTCCTCAGGCTAAACCTGTGGGACAGAGACATTTATTTTTTCCTTTTCAATCAGTTTTAAAAGTGATTTCATTTCCTTGTGTGGTGTGGAAGCTTGGACAGCACAGCCCCTTTCACTCCCACAAACACAGTATTGAGAGATTGCTTGAAGTGACCTGAGACTTCAGACAAGGCAGGCGAATGACTTTGAAAGCTTGGTTTTATTGGAAGTAACCCAGTAGCACCTCAAGGCCCCAACTGAGATCAGGGCCCCCGTTGTGCCAAGCGCAGCTCAGATGCTGGCCGAGGATGGGCCACTCTTGTGCCAAGCGTGGCTCTGATGCTGGCCAAAAGCAGGCCTCCTGCCCTAACCCACTAGACCCCACTCCCTTCCACAGCTCCTGGGATAGAATCCAGGAGTCCTGGCTCCCAGCCCTGCCAGGGATGCTCTGGGTGGGAGGTTTCAAGTTCAGCAAGGGGCATCAGGATATGGATCTGGAGCGTCCCACATAGTGTTGCCTCCTGCATGATTTTTAATTGGCCTGCCCGGTTTTTGTCCTGCCTTGCCTGTTGCCAGTGAAAAAATTTATCATATGGGGGTTTGATGTCCCTCTGCCAGACGTGAGTATGGACAGCCACCCGTGCAGTGAATTTGTATCTACCATGCAAGACATGTGGCTGGGAGCGCAGCTGGCCCTACTTAGCCTGCCGAACCACGGCAGCTCCTCTCAGCGCCAGGTAGTGAGCTTCATTCACAGCTCACCAACAGGGAGGGGTAGGTGCAGGGTGGGAGAGGCAGGGTCTCCTGGGAGGGGACGCTGGGGGGAAGGCTCCCTCCCGGGCTGTAGCTCCTGTGAGGCGCCAGGTGTGGGGGCTCATGATGGGCAAGGCAAGGGCTCCCTGAGTTACGTGTCAGAAAGAACAGCTGTGGTCACAGCTGTGGGGAAAAGGGCCAGAGCCTCTCCCCTGTTCACCACTGAACATCTCTTCTATTCCCCAAAGGGAAGCGCCATTCATCCTTTATGTATTTGTTAGTATCTCACCAGGGCAGGAGAATGCCACTCTGAGGATCTGTCATTCCCTAAGAGAGCATAGGAAAACCTATATAGAGGTTTGGGGGTTTTGGGGTCATTTTTGTTGCCCGCTCACTCCATGTTTTAGCTTGGGACAATGAGATTTTTAGTGGTAATTGTCAGCAAATCATCAGTTTTACCGCGCACCCCCCAAAACCAAGGGAAAAGATTTCTGTCAATCACAATCAAAACATGCAGCTAGACAAAGAAAGAAAGCTGTTCCTGGAGAACTTTCTAGTGTCCCACCTTATTGTGTAGAAAACTTGTGGCCATGTGGGTGTCACTGGGGCTGCTTTCAGGATAATTACATTGTACAATTTGACATGTGATGTTGACAATTTGTGTTTTTAAATGTTATAAATAGGCTTGGCAGAATTCTTTTTAAAATAATTTCCATGGACAGTCCTGTTTATTTCTGAGCAAATTTTTTTATTTTTATTCATTTAAATTTTCAGTTGTGGAAAATTACTGGGGGCGGGGGGGGGAATCAAACCCAAATTCTGTAAAGACAACAAATGTTGATTTTAAAAGGTCACATTTTATAACTATTCAAACACAAAATATTAACATCTTGTGTCAAAATATATAGCCTTAAATCAAACTCTGATATGTTCTCAAGTGGAAATTTTTGATTATTCGCAATGGAAATATTTTGTCCGCAGTTTGCCTGTGTGTGATGAATTCAACATTTACAAATAAAAATCCAGTCCTTTCAAGCATCGATATAAAGCTTTACCTTTCTGAATCTCAACCTCTACTGACATTAAATAACAGTCTGACCATCACATATGGCCTGACCCCAAACACACACAAATTCCCACAACCGGGATCATTTAAATTGATAAAAATGGGGGTGGGAAGCTTAAACCCACAATTTTCCACATCAAAATGTAAATCAATAGAATTCTAAAAAAAATGCCTGTGAACGTATCCTCAGTGTGCACCACTAAAATGATAAAAAGGTTCATAGAATTCTGCCCAGCCTAATTTGAGTTACAATTAGCTCGAGTTGGCACTCGGACCTCTTTTGTTGGTTGGGGATGGGCAGTGGCCGGTCTTTCTGCGTCTTGGAGGTGGCAAACATAAGGGGGCAGGGGTGGATCTGGAGTAACCCAGAGGGAGGCAAAGCCGGGGGGGGGGTGCTAACATTGGCAACTCGTGCCTGTGGGGGAAGGGGGACAAGGAGGGGGGCAGAGTGAGGGTGCCCAGCTTCAGCAATTAAAATTTGGGGGTTCTGTGACCCATCTAGGGGAGCGCATGGGGGGGGTATTGTTTTGGGGCATCGGAAGCAGGGGGGTTGCCAGCGGTTGCAATCTGGGTCAGGCGAGGCCCCTCGCCCTCCACAGCGTCCTCCATCATCTGCTTGTACTGGCGCTTGAAGAAGCCGAACTGGAAGGAGACAGCCGGGGGAAATGGTGAGAGCCAGACACACACAGGCCCATGGTCGAGGAGGAGGAGGGACAGGCTGTGGGAACCTCTGAAGGAAAGACCCTTGCCCCTTCTCCACCAGCTGGGAGAACCACAGGCCCCACCCCCAGGGTGATTGGGCGGTGGGGGAAGGGGTCCAAACCCTGCCCCCCTCACCTTGCAGAGGGCTGCGGTGATGAGAGCCAGCAGGATCAGGCCCCCCACGCTGCTGCCCACGATGATGGGCAGGTAGTTATAGACCTCGGAGCGCTCCACCAACGTCTGCACCTGGGGGAGAGGAGGTGTGAGATGGGGACCCAGGAGTCCTGGCACCATCAATCACCCCCTGCTCTAAATCCCCAGACCTCACTTCCTCCCAGAGCAGGGACAGGACCCAGGAGTCCTGGCTCCCAGCTCTAACCACTAGCCAATGCTCTCTCTATCCCGGGCGCAGTCACTCTGGTACCTGGCGCTGGACGAATCCCTCCTTCTGGGTGTATTTCTTCTCCTCGTATTCAATCCGGGCCTCGCTCACCAGACTCACTTTCTGCTGCTGAGTCTGGAACAGAGAAATTCACCGTCCCTGACCAGAAATGGCACAAACCAGCCCAGAGCATTGTCCCAGTGGGACCCAGAGCAATTTACAGGCTGTTCACATCGGAGCAATCACTTGCCCAGCACAGAGATGCAGCCAGCTCTGGGGAGGGGCTCAGGGGCTGTTCACATGGGGGGGATCCCTCGCCTGTTGCTGAGAGGCAGAGGAAGCTCTCATACCTGGGAGACCCACTGGAAGCTGACGTTCCCTTTGATCACAAACTCCAGCGGTTGCCGCATTTCCAGGGAGGCGATTCTGCACCGGATCTTCTTACAGGTGGCCACGGAGCAGTCCTGGGGGCAGAAGGATATCGCCGGGTAGGGCAGGGGGTGTGCAGGGGCTCAGCATAGCCATGCGGGTCTGGGTCTATCTATAGCACTTGCTGTCTGAGCTAGTGCAGAGGGAGAAGAGTGGCTGGGATCCGCACCGGTCCATACTCACCAGCAGGGGGCGCTCGCTCATCTGCTTCACAAAGTCCTTCGAACCCGGCATTTCAGCCTCACTGGTGCACTGAGCCAGCTCGGGCTGGGGAGGGAGAGAGACACGGTGTTAATGGGGGTGGGAATGGGACATGGGGCCTTTCCCCTCTAGGGGGCACCAGCACCAATCTGGCACCAGCACACAGGACTGGCTGGCTCAGGGGCTGGGGAAGGACCTGGGGAAGGTCGTTCTCCCCCAGGCAGCCTGTCCCAGCAGGGGGCGCTGTAGGGCTGAGCAGGTGTCACTGGGCCCATCTCACACACACAAGGGCAGGGAGAGGCAGGTACCTTGGAGGGGACGACCTCAGAGGCGTCCCACACCCGGACCCCGCTCAGCTCCACGGGGAACTGGAACGTGACCGAGATGGGGACGCTTCGCTGCCGCAGGTTCTTGACCTGAAAGAAACAGACTCGCTACAGGGCACTGCAGGAAGAGAACCCAGGAGCTCTGATCCCCAGCCCCCGCTCTGACCCTCAGACCCCACTCCCCTGCCAGAGCTGGGGATAGAACCCAGGAGTCCTGGCTCCCTGCCCACCCCCACCTTCATCTCTCTGTGCTCTAAGCCACTAAATCTGACTCAGGCAGTTCCACTCCCTCCCTCTTGCCCCATCTCCCCCCTCGCACTCTGTGCCACTGGCCTCACCTCGTACCCATGTGTCACTGGCATACTTGTCCCTGCGTCCTCGACAGAGAAGTTGACGTACTTGGTCGACTCCTCGAGGCTGGGGGAGGAAAAGGACGGAAGGAAGGAGAGAGACGGGAGTGTGCTGGATGGGGCTGGAGAGTGGCGGTGGGGTGTCATGTCCAGAAGGGGGCGCTGTGCTGCAGGGAAGGACTCAGTAGGGGGCGCTCTCCCCTTGCAGTCAGCGCTGGCATCTATAACCCCGTGCAGCGCTAGGGACACTGTGCTTCAGGGACGAGCTCAACAGGGGGCGCTGTGCTGCAGGGAACAGGGGGCCCAGCAGGGGGCGCTCTCCCCTCTGTCTCCGCACGGACCTACCTGGTGAGGATGACGAAGATGCCGTACTTGACCGGCAGCTCCGCCCGGTGAATCATGCGCTCGGTGATGGGGCCACCATTGTCACTGTGGGGAGGGGAGGGCAAAGGGGAGAGATGTGAGGAGATGGAGCCAGTTAACTGTGCAGGGAGGCTGCACCACAGGCCTCTGCATCGTCCTGCTCCATGCACGGCCCATTCCCACTGCCCCCCCACCCCACCCCTGGCCCTGCATGGCCCCCCTCACCTGCTGGCAGTGGCCGTGATCTGCAGCCTGTCCCCCAGGTCGGCCTCAGAGGAGACAGCGAAAGTGGTGACAAAGATGGCCTGGAAAATACACCGGGGTGGGGGGGTGAGAGAGCCAGTGGACTCAGGGCCTGGGAAACTGCCAGAGACTGCGGGGGCGGGGCAGGCACGGAGGACGGTGGGGGGCTTTTGTATGAACTTAGAACAAATGGTCCCAGAGCGGCAAATGGTGTTAACATGACCCTGTCCCTGTCCAACATTAAACAACGTTAACCTGGTTTGAGGTCCAGAGATCTCAGCCGGCTCCATGCCATGGCAACACCCCATTCACCGTCATTTTAAAGACCCCAAATGAGGTCAGGAACAGCCCCTCCCTTTGTTTTTTTCTCCACCAGTGAAGCCTGATTTCCAGCCCCCCAAGTCTGGCCCTTGGCTTCCAGCCCCGGCAGGGCCGGACCCCAGCCCTGGAGTGATTTCAGGGCTCTATTTGCACTGATTCTCTGGGCTCCCCGGGGCACTTTCCCCAGCACATCGCTTGTCATGGGCTGGGCTGACTCCTGGGAACTGCCCCTCTCTGCTCCCAGCTGGGCTCACCCCTGGGGAGTCCACAGGCCAGGGCCCGTCCCTACCTCGGCCCCGCTCCAGAAGATGGGGAGGTTGATGTGGCAGGTGCTGTTCCTTTGAGATTGTTCCTCTGAGCCCTCCGCCAAGCTGCACTTAATGGCCAGGGGCCTCCTGTTAGACTGAGCACAGGGGACCAGCCAGTGAGACAGAGGGCCACAGACCCCTGCTGAGTCCCCCATCTCCTCCCTGGAGCACAGAACCCCGTGCTAAGCCCCCTACCCGCTCCCTGCGGCACAGCGCCCCCTGCTGATGCCCTGACCACTCCCTGCAGCACAGTGCCCGCTGCTGAGCCCCCTGCCCTCTCCTTGCATCACGACACCACCTGCCAAGCCCTCACCCACTCCCTGCAGCACGACACTCCAGACTGAGTTCCCAGCCCACTCCCTCCTGCACGGTGCCCCCTGCGGAGTCCCCCACCTGCTCCCTGCAGAGCAGCATCCCCTGCCAAGTCCCCTGCCCACTCTCTGCAGCACGGCTCCCCACTGCAGAGCCTGCCCCTCATGCCTGGTGTGTTGGGGTACCTGGAGCAGCAGGACCCGGCGGTAGGACAGCGCGGCCGGGTAGAAGAACCGCACCGTGGTGCTGTAGGAATTCTCCCCGCGGTTCTCAATGGAGACGGTGATGTTGAGTTCAGGGCTAATGCCCACCACCAGGGTGCTCAAGCTAAGGGGGAGACAAAGGGGTGAGCTTCCTCAGGGCAGTGCCCTGGCTGCTCTGTGAACTTCCTCTAGCAGTGCCCAGCCAGGGACCCCAGTGCTGCAATCTTCGCCACAGCAGTGCCCCCCACCCAGGATCCATCAGCACTGGAAATCCAAACTGTGATCAAGCTGGACGGGTCCCCCCATGGCGGGTGTTTTTGTGGGGAGGATTTGGTGACTTACCCAGAGAAATTGAAGGAGACTCCTAACTGGTCATCGCAGCGGCCATCCATGCCGCAGTCTTTCTGAAATAGGGAGCTGGGGGGAGGCCAGGAGGGCAGGGGTCAATGGGGAGAGGGCTGCAGCACCATCTGCCAGAGCGACACTGCAGGGACCCAGGGGCCCTCCAGTTACCCCAGCACCTCCCAGTCCCCTACACAGGGGACAGCTGAACCCATCATCTGCCCTGCCCTTGCTACCCACCCACTCACCCAAACCCCTCCTCCCCCTTCCCCTCCCGGCTCTGGCCAGAAAAAGTATCACAGTTCTAGGGGTGCCAGGGCAGGGGGCCTGCCTGGCTCGCGGAGGGATGGGGAACAGAGCGTGGGGCCTTTCCCCTCTAAGGGGCTCTGGCCAAAATAAGTTTTGAAAAATTTTCAGCAAAAATCATGTTTTTAGCAAAAAATATTTTGGTTTTTGGACAGAAATTTTGGGAACTTTGAGGAGAAGTTGGAATGTTCCCACCCAGCGGAGACAGGTCCGTAGCCAAGGCAAACTCGGCCTCCGTCTCTGTCGCCCCCCAGTGCCTGCACTCTGGAAGGGGTTTAGGAAGCTGCTGCTGGCTCTGAACTTTGCAGTCTCTCGCTTTGGAATGCCAACGTCACTGGTTCGATCCCTGCAGCAGACCCACCGCGGGGCCTGGCTCTGGCACCTTACCAAGCCTGCAGACACCAGTGCAGAGTCCTCGCTCAGGATGGGTCTGAGGCAGCTGGCAGCAGCGATGGGATCCCCCTTCAGGGTGTAGTTGAGACGCAGGGTGATGGGGGTCAGGGTGTCCTCTGGGCAGAGCTGGGGAGACAGAGAGACATGTCGGGCCCCTGAAGGGTAATGGGGGGCTGGGCACTGGGTGGGACCTGGAGAGAGTTTGTTCTCTGGGTGATTTGGATGCGAGGGGCAGAGTTGGAGGGGCAGACACAGTGGGAGGGAAAGAAATTAGGACTCTCCCACACTCACAGGAAACATTATCCGGTACGTCTCACATCTCGTCTCGATGCCGAGCCGCAGCTCCCTGCTCAGGACAGGGCAGGTGAAGTCGAAGGTGACTCGGATATTAGTCCGCCCGGGGTCCAGGGCCAGGCTGTACTGGATGGTGCTGGAGATCCTGTCACCTAAGGGGGAGGGGAAATGAGGGACAGAGAGAGACAGAGTGGGAACCTAAAGGGGAAATGGGACACGGGGCCTTTCCCCTCTACGGGGCACTAGCTCCAGTCCAGCTCCAGGGCAGGGAACTGGCTGGCTCAGAGTGCAAGGGAACAGGGGGTGGGGGGGTATGGCCTGACCTAGGCTGTCCATGGTGCTCTTAGTGATGGTGAAGCAGACCTCTGCCCTGCTGGCCTCTGTGTTGAGCTGCTCCTGCCCCTGGCAGTCGAAGGCCGAGGTTGGGATCGTGGGGGGCTGGAAGCTGATGGAGACCCTGACTCTGAGCACCGGCCGGGACCTGCCATGGGGGGAACAGAACCATCACCCATCTGCTCTCTGCAATGGGGCCAGGACCCCTCCCTCTCCTGAGCCTCCCACCCAGCCTGGAGGTGCTCACAGCACCCCATGGAGACAAGTTATGGATATAGAGCTCTACTAGAGGAGATGCCGGGGGGCAGAGAAGGGAGCAGCCAAGCAGGGGCAGCAGGTTTGTATAATTTTTGGTGGTGCCCAGAACAGGTCCAAGTCCTGTCCTCCCCCACCCCCACCCCGCCACACACACATACCTGCCTAAGGCTCTGGAAGGGAGTTTGGGTGCTGGGTGTGGGCTCTGGGCTGGGGCAGAGCGTATGGGTTCAGGAGGGGGTGCCAGTTCTGGGAGGGAGTTTGGGAGTAGGAGGGGGTTTGGGGTGCCACACAGCCCCCCACCACCACACTCCCCAGACACGTGATGTCCGGCACCCTCACGCACAAATCCACAGTGCCCTGAACACCACCACCCCTGCACCAGCACTCCCCTGCCCTCAGCCCCACCTCAGCCACCTCAGCCAAGAGGAGCAAGGGCGGGGGAGGAACCGGGGAGGCATGTGGGGGCAGCGATGGAACTCGGACCCAAACTTTGGTGGAGCCGGGCCCCCAGGCCCGGAATATTCCTGGAGCTCGAGCACCACGGGCTCATGCAACTCGCTGGCCCTGCAGCAAAGCGATCATTGTGCCTTTCTCCAGTACAGACAGACACACACACACACAATGTATTGCTACTGTGTGCATCCTTGTCTACACTACAGATAACTGAGCTTAATGAAGCATGGCAGATTACTGGTTCTCATTCTCAAAATGTTGCCTCAAAGCCTCCCTGCTTCGATATAGCCCTCATTGTGCCCCTCCAGTAGCCATGGTTTCTGGCTGCTCAAAATCAGCTGCCAGGTGATCTGGCTCAGCACTCCACCCCAGGCAAGCTTTTCATCCTTAGCCCCACAGGCAGCTCTGACCATTGGAATGGTTTTCCTCACTAAGATCTAACCTTTCCTATAGGCATCGCCAGCCTGCTTTTAGTGTGTCAAAGGCACATTCCACAGTCATTCTGCATCTACTCAGCCTGCTGTTGAAGAGCTCCTTGCTGCGGTCCAGGCTTCCCATTTAAGGCTCCATGAGCCATGGGAGTAAGGGATATGCTGGGTCTAGCAGGATCATGATGGGCATTTCAACATCCCCCACTGGAATCTTTTGGTCTGGAAAGAAAGTCCCTGCTTGCAGCTTTCTGTGCAGTCCGGTGCTCCTGAAGATGCGCACGTCATGCACCTTCCCAGACCACCCCATATTGATGTCAGCAAAACACCCACAGTGATCTACAAGTGCCTGAAATAACATGGAGAAGTGCCCCTTTCTGTTGATATACTCCATCACAAGATGGTCCAGGGCCAAAATTGGAATATGCGTTCCATCTATTACCCTTCCGCAGTTAGGGAATCCCATTTCTACAAAGCCATTCACTATTTCACGTACATTGCCAAGAGTCGTGGTCCTTCATAGCAAGATTCAATTAATGGCCCTGCATACTTGCATTAACACAGCCCCTGCAATCGACTTCACAACTTCAAACTGATTCACAACCAACTGGTAGCAGTCCAGGGTCACCAGCTTCCACACTGCAATTGCCATGCACTTCTCCACCAAGAGGGCAGCTCTCACTTTGGTGTCCTTGCACTGCAGGGCTGGGGTGAGCTCCGTACACAGTCCCAGGAAGGTGGTTTTCTGCCTCCGAAAGTTCTGCACCCACTGCTCGTCATCTCAGAGCTGCATAACAAAGTGATCCCACCAATCAGTGCTTGTTTCCCAAGCTCAAAAGCGACAGTCCACTGTGTTCAGCTGCTCCATGAATGCCAAAAGTAATCTGTATTGTTTCTTTCCATGGCACACAACATGTCAGGCATCTCTAGTTCCTGTTCAGATTGGGAGCTCATGATATACTGCATGACCATCCACGATTTGTTCGCAATAGTTATCACAACAGTACAGATCAGTGCAGGATCCATCTTTTCAGATGGAGATGGCAGGCTCACAGTAAACAAGAACCATTGAAAAATGCCACAGAATGCAGTCAAAAGCCCATAGACTGCTGTGACAGAAAGAACTGCATCATGGGACATTGATTCCATACCCATGATGCACTGCGATCCACTCCACCATCACACAACACCCAGCTGTGGAATGTGGCAAGTCGCACACTGAGATAGGTACCCGCAGTGCACTGCTCTCACTCTCAGTGTGACTGTACCAAGTGTGGATGCGCTCTGCTGACACGAGGACCGCAGTGTGGACATGGAATGGGGATGAAATTGTTACACTTTCAGATCGTTGGAATAATTTATATCAAAAATATGCTTTAGTGTAGACAAGGCCTGAGATTGTCGTTTGGAGCAGTGCAACATTATTTACCTCAGCAGCAGGACCTGCCCTTGTGCCCCCACCGCGATGTCCGGCAGTCCATCCCCCGTCAGATCTGTCCCACCACTGACGGCCTGGCCAAAGTAGTGCAGCCTGCTGGGAAACCGTGACCCCTCGATGCGCTGTAGGGCAGAGAGAGCAATAAGGGATGCAGAAGGGGTGAGTACACAGTATAATGGGCACTAAGGGGGCTGTGGGCCCCATGGTGTCCCTTCAGGGCTGTGTACTGACCCGTCCCCGCAGGAGCTGGGCTCACCTGTCTGTACTGGGGACTGAGACCTCCCTTTTCCCCATGGAAGATGTACAAGGCCCCACGATTGTCATTCTCCATGGGAGCCCCAATGGCCACATCTGTGTGTCCATCCCCGCTGATGTCCCCAATTTCAGACATGCTGGCCCCGAAGCGCCCAGACACTTCCCCCGTCTGCCCATGTAGTGTCTTGTTGCAGAACATCGTCGTCCCCTGCAGGCCCAATCCAAAAAGACACATGGAGAAAGGATCAGCACTTGCTGTCATCAGAGAGTGATCCCAGCAAGCTCCTTTTCCTCTCTCTGCAGCACAGTGTGCCCTACCCCCAACTCTGGGGCACTGGGGCCAGAACTGACTGGGAGGGAAGAGCGCCCCCTACTGAGCCTCTACCCCGCTTCCTGGAGCACCATGCCCACCACTGCAATACTAATTGTCACAGCATCACGGCAGTCCAGGCAAACAAGAACCCCAGGCCACCCATCTTCCCCAGTGCTGCGCTCCTCTTTCTTACCAGCAAGTCGATCGGGCAGATATAGACCCGTCCTCCATTCAGGGGTGTATGGTACATGGGGGCTCCAATGAGAACTAGGTCCGTGTTCCCATCTCTGTTGAGGTCCACAGTGCACAGTGTACACCCAAAATATGAGCCAATCTGGAGAGGCAGATAAGCCACCCCCTCAATTTAGTCAACTCCTGCTTCTTCTCCCACTGAGACCCTTCCCACCCTCTGGGGATAAGGATTCAGTCCCAATGTCCATTCCATCTTTAGCCTCACCCTCCCAAAGTGCAGCCAGTGGGGCTATCTCTGTAAGTGTTCTTGAACAGACAGGCAGCTAGATCTTGAAGGGATGGGGATGCTGAATGCTAATTGAGGTGCAATTCTTTTTAGAGGCTGGGCTATCACAAGTCAAGTTCATCACTGACTGAGCCACTGTTGTAAGTTTTGTTTAGGTGGCACGAATAGGCAATTGGATTTTAGAGAAATTCACTTTGTTAGTGTAGTGTGATCTTTTTCAGACACTGTTAATATCACTAGTAATGTTATTTCCTTGCCTGAGTCTCTCTAGTCTAGATCCACAAAGGTACGTATGTGCTTAACCCCCCAGACTTAACTGCCTCTGTGAGCTGCAAAACCTCTGCCTGGCTACTGCTGACCCCTGTAGGTGCCTAAACTGACTTGGTGCCTATGTTTTTGCAGCAGAAGCTCCTTTGTTGCTGTCCCAATGGCAGGGCTTGTGCCTTACTGTCTTACTCTAAACATGCAGGTTGAAGGGTGTTTGTTGTTTGTTTAAAAAAAAAAAGGGGGGAGTTGTGGTAGCAGAGAGACTAAAAAATTTTTTTTAGAATAAGCTTTCATGAAGTGGTGTAGCTCACGAAGCTTATGCTCAAAAATTTGTTCAGGTGCCACATGTTCCTTTTTTTTCTAAACATGCAGTTGCCCGGTGCCCATTTCCCCCTCCCCCGCCATCCCAGCATGGTCCACAAACTCGGGGAAGACAGGCGCTCCTCCATCTAACTCCTCCTCTGGTAGGTGTCATCAGAGGAGAAGGAATTGAATAGGACCCTGCTATTTCTCAGTTCAGTTCTCAGTTCAGTGCTCTAACCCCTAAGCTGTGGGATAGTCTGATGTGGACTCCCTTCAGTCTCCCCTGTTAATTGAGTAATTAAGTATCAGTTGGGCCACAGAACATATGCAAATCACAACCACCCTACAGCCTGAGAGAGGACAGCTACATGGGTTAAATCCTTCTTCTTAATCAGGCAAAGCAGGGATTTGAACCATGGGTCACCCGTGTCCTAGGTGAGGACTCTAACCCCCAGGCTATAAGGGAAACCTCTCTTTGTCTCCTCCAGCTGGTTTGTGAATATCTTGGCAGCTCTGAGCATGCCTATTGGATGAGACCCAACATGTGGGGTAGGTGAAGAGGGCCCGTGTCTCTCTCTCCCCTCCTCCCATTCATCGATCACGGGCAGAGGCAGGTGCCTCCATGCAGCATCACAATGCCTAAGTCCCTTGGTGGGTCTGGGCCACCTTATGAGTTCCGTCTAAACTGTAAGTGAAGGTAACAGAAGTGGATTATTGGAGAGATGCTGAATGTCAGCTGTGGTGCAGTTCTCTAAACCAGTCAAGTTTATCCCTTCCTGAGGCTCTCTGACCGAATCGTTCCTGAAGGTGAAGCCAAACACAAATACTGCACGATGCCAAAAGCTTACAGGCTTCCCCAGCGCTCTCTTTCTTTCACACCCACAATCCACATTACCTGTAACACTCCCCATACCTGCTCTCCCGACAGCTCTGATCTGGGTGTCCATTCCCCACCCTTGGTATCTTGGCTGAACAGGATGACTTTGCCGGTGCGTTGGCAGTGAGGGATTCCGACCATGTAGGTGCTCTGCCCATTGGCTGTGATGACCTGAGATGAATAACCTCAAAGGAAAAGAGAGACATGAGGAGGTGACATGGGAAACAGCCATTCAACAGTGTGATTGGTTGGACCACCCTGTCTGGGATGCCACTTGATGTATTGGGTTTTCACTGAGCCTCTCCTGCTCCACCAGCCTGGATTCCCTCTCCCTGTTATGCTGAATTAGGCTCTCCGGTCTCGTGCAGCACACACACACAGAAAGGGCCACACCCAGCTGCAGACACAGAAAGAAGTCAGCTTTATGTGAGAGGACTCACCTGGAACTCACGTACACATCCTTTTGGGCAATAAACTCGAAACAATACTGTCTTACACTGTACAGAGAGATCTGCACAGTGCAAGCTCCTAAAAATTCACCCTCTCCCTCAATGTGGAGAGAGATGTGCACAGCTTCTTTCACCCCCCCCCCCCCCCCCGGTATGAATTGCACAAACTGGGTTATACTATAAACAAGAAATAACTTTATTAACTACAAAAGGTTAATTGTAAGTGATTATAAGGGAAAGCAAGCAGAACAAAGCAGATTACCTTAATAAATAAATAAAACCTGCAAACTGATCATAACACACTGGATAGGTAGGATACAGATAAGGAGATTCTCATCCTAAGTGATAAACAGGCAGCACATTCTTAAGGCACAAGTTGCCTTGGCTTTCCCAGGTTTTCATACTCAGGCTAAAAATTCCTCTACCCTGGGACCATCACTTCCCACAGTTCAATCCTTGCCCCTCAGATATTTCCAGGTGTATTGTTGTAGGGAGAGTGATGTCCCCCATGATATCATTGTCCACTTTTTATATCTTCTTCCCACTCACTGGAAAGCTCTTTTTCTGTGACCTGGGACAAACAGTTCCCATTGTGTAGTGCTATCTCTGAGAGGTTTGTATTGTACCCAGTTCCTGGGGTAATCCATGTGCTTATGTGCATTTCCTCAGTAAGCCATTAACACTCTTTGGCCTTCTTACTGTTGTACCTGAAAGGCTGCTTGTGGGTGTTGTGAACCTCGCCATACGTTTCAGTAGCACATATGTAGCCAAACTTCATAACTTCACACAGAACGATAACACATATAATCCAATGAGATTAATCTTTAGCAGACCAAGACTTTTAGAATAATCCCTCACAAGACATACTTTGTACAAAAAATATCCTAATTACATGACAGTGGTGAATATTGGGGTGTCAGGGTGTCATAAAAAGTGCTACACAGAGATCCCTTTCCCAGAATGAAGAGGCAGCCACCTCTGGGGTGAGGAGCAGGGACTGTTTAAATAGGTAAGAGGAAATCTTTGGGTTTGTTCTTACCAAGGGAAGCATCATTCATGTCCCCAGAGGTTCTGGGTATGTTGATGAAACTCAGCTTCCCACTGCTCCCGTATAGGTATATCCCATCACACTACTCATAGGCTCTCACCACTCCCAGCTCTGGATTCCCAGCAGCTCCCCGTGCCACAGAATCATAGAAGATTAGGGTTGGAAGAGACCTCAGGAGGTCATCTAGTCCAACCCCCTGCTCAAAAAGCAGGACCAATACCCAACTAAATCATCCCAGCCAGGGATTTGTCAAGCCGGGCCTTACAAACCTCTAAGCATGGAGATTACACCACTTCCCTAGGTAACCCATTCCAGTGCTTCACCTCCCTCCTAGTGAAAGAGTGTTTCCTAATATCCAACCTAGACCTCCCGCACTGCAACTTGAGATCATTGGTCCTTGTTCTGTCATCTGCCACCACTGAGAACAGCCGAGCTCCATCCTCTTTGGAACCCCCCTTCAGGTAGTTGAAGGCCGCTATCAAATCCCCCCTCACTCTTCTCTTCTGCAGACTAAATAACCCCAGTCCCCTCAGCCTCTCCTCATAAGTCATGTGCCCCAGCCCCCTAACCATTTTTGTTGACCTCCGCTGTACTCTTTCCAATTTGCCCACGTCCTTTCTGTAGTGGGGGGCCCAAAATTGGATGCAATACTCCAGATGTGGCCTCACCAGTGCCAAATAGAGGGGAATAATTAGTTCCCTCGATCTGCTGCCAATGCTCCTACTAATGCAGCCCAATATGCCGGCCATCTCGACCTTGAAAACCCATTCTAAAGCCCCAGGGCCCCTGTGGCCCCTGCCCCAGCTCTGTTACCTTTGCAGGTGAAGATCTTCTCCTGCAGCTGGCTCTGGATGCTCTGGAGGGTGTCGAAATTGTCCACCCGGAAGACATGCTCGTTGGTGGGCTCAGAGGCGATCTCCTGGAGCTCCTGTTGGGCAGTATCACTGGAGAAGGCCTCGCCGACCTTCACGGAGTAGAGGGAGGTACAGGGGAGACCAGGGCATTGGCATCAGTCACAGCTGGGAGCCCTGGACCAACACCCACCCGCCCCGAGCTCTGCTGGGCCTTCTAGAGGCACGGCTCAGGCAGCGCCATGTGCTTCTCCGGTGAGTGGGGGGCTGCTGGAGCCTGGAGTTATAGACCCTGCCTCATTTCAGCACTGAGTTGTGTCGGTTGTCCCAGCAGCAGGGCACAGGGGTCTCCTTGCCATGGGGATTGTCAGCACTCTGGGGACCTGCATGGCTCAATCTCCAGGGCGTAGTGAGGGGTGAGTGCTGCAATGTCTCCGGGGGACGCCTCAGGGCAAGGAGTGAAGGGCTGGGACCACCGCACTAGTCCGGGTGGGTTGTGTGAAGTCGGTTCAGCGGTGGAGTCAGACACCTCCCCGTCGCTGGGCCTGACGTAAACAGCAGACAAAGGTCGAACAAGATCCAATGGCTGGAAGTGGAATTTACACCCATTCCTTTTGGAAATAAGGTGTCAGGTTTAACCATGAGGGGAATTAACCCTTGGAGCAGCTCACCACAGGCCGTGGTGGATTCTCCATCCCTAGCAATTATTATCTCAAGGCTGGCAGGTTTTCTAAAAGATTTGCTCTGGTTCCAACAGGGATTATTGGGGTCAGTTCTCTGCCCTGTGCTACACAGCACCTCAAACTAGATCATCGCAAAAGTCCCTTCTGGCCTGGGAATCTATGACCTGAGTTTGTTGATGTAGGACTTACGTCGACCTAACTCTGTAAGTGGCTACAGTAAAATGTAGTCCCACCCATGAAACTCACCCGCTACACCAACTTCATAGCTCCACTTCCACAAGAGGCATTGTTTTTAGGTCAATGTAGTTAGTGTATGCAGTGTCCGTATAGGCATTGTGTGGCTTACATAGCCTTAGGCTCCAGCTGTTGGCCCCAGGCCGTGGGGCTTCAGCCCCAAAACGCCCCGCACTGACAGTTAAATCAGTGAAAAGTCCCCGGTGAAGATGCGCACCGCTGACAGGAGAGTAATGTGGACATGAAAAACCAATTTAATTACTGCGGTGGCTGTGTGACGACGTAACTTAATTCGACTTAAGTGTATCGTGTAAACTTGCCCTTCTCCTTGCTGCTGCTGCCCATTTCAATCTCTTTGGCTCAGCAGTTTAACAGAGAGAAACATCAAGTGACTGAGATCAGTTTGGGGAGGATCAGAGCTGTTGTTTGAGCTCCAGGCGCGTGCAAAAAAGACTTTATAAGAACCGGGTGACTTTGCTGTTTAAGGGGGGGGGCTATATCTCAGAAACCCCTTGTTCAAATGATCCCAAATTTAGACCACTAATCTTAACCTGCATCCCCATGAGGCAAACCAAATGTTATGACAATCTGAGTCAGCACGTGTATCGTAGGGCAGTCAGAAAACCCAACCTTTAACTAGAAAGCTTGGCTCAACCTGAACAACAGAGGAGCTCCAGCTCTCCTGTAACGTCACATGTTGACCCAGTTACAACCCAGGGTCAGTTCTTCTCCCTTATCTGGTGGGAACCTGGACAGGGGCTCAGATCCCTACTAGTTCTCCGCACAGCCACGGCTCACCCCGATGGCGTAGCGGATGATCCCAGCTCTCTCAGCCTCGGGGATGGCGTCTGAATAAGAAAGCGGGTCGTTGTATTTCTGCCCATCTGTGATCACAATGAGAACCTTGGTGGCCTCATCCCGAGCGCCTCTCCCAGAGGTGAACAGCTGCCGCCTGGAAAAGGGGGGTGGGGAATGCATGGGAGGGTTATTGGTATGTAATAAAACGTAACGCTCATCCGCTGCTTTGGCATTGCAGATCTCAAAGTCCTTTACAAGGAGGTCACCGTCATGTCCCCATTTTACTGATGGGGAAACTGAGGCATAGGGCAGGGGTGTGACTTGCTTAAAGTCACAACACAACAGAGGCTCAGAGTTGGCAATCGAACTCCAAAGTCCTGGCTCCCAGCATCCCCACCCCACTTTAATCTACTAGTCCCCAGTCCCCTCCCACAGCTGGGGATAAAACCCAGGAGTCCTGAGTCCCTATCCCTTAGCTTGCATGTCCTTGTAGCCCATTCCATGTGGAGTCAGCATGGGGAGGAAGGCAATACCTACACGACTTTCTGGATGGCTGTGGCCGTGTACGTCGTTCCATGAAGCTGCTCAATCGTCCAGACGAGGTGATCGGGGTCATGACTTCTCCTGTACTCCATGAAGTCGAAGTGCAATTCATATTTATTGGAGTACTGCATGAGGGCGAACTGCAAGGGGAGGCGGGGAGAAGAGAGAAAAACAACCCCAGGGGTGGAGGGTAAGAAAAGCAGGCATCAGACTCAGTTAAGGGCTGAGGCAGTCGGGACGTAGTGGTTCTGTTGGAATTTTTTCCTGGTTTTGGATGCAAAATCCTTTACTGCTCCCCCTGCAGCACAGCGCCCCCTAGCACCGCACTGGCGTATTGGGGTCAGCACTGACTGCGAGGGGCAGGGCACGTAGTCAGGGTTCAGCTTCTGCCCATTACCTGCGTGTCGGTGCTGCGGAAACGCTTCATGATCTCAGTGAGAAACGCCTTCATTTTTCCAAAGTCCACAGGTGCGATGCTGCCCGAGCCATCAACGAGGAGCGCTATGTCTGTGACATGTCTGGGGCACTCTGAGAGTGACAGGAATGAAGTACGTCCTGACTCAACTCCACAAACATGGGAAACCCAACAGAAAGAGCTAGACCAGACCAATGGGCGCATCTAAGCTGATATCCTGCCCCCTGCTGGCCACCCCGATCAGACCCCCTCGGCCCCTCTGTCGCAATATCATCCCGTCCCTGCCATGAAGGGGTCCTGAGAGTAGACCATGACATGCACTGGCATGAAAAAAATACACCCTTCCCCCTCCCAGAGCTGGGACAGAACCCAGGAGTCCTGACTCCAAGTTCCTACTGACATCCTGAATCAAACCAATGGGCCCACCTAGCCTGGTATCCCAACCCATATCAGACCCTGGGCCCCTCTAGACCCATCTCCCCTCCACCTCCCCACGGCCCTTGTACCCACCCAGGAACCCAGGGTGTAAGTCCCCCCCATACACACCCCCGGGTCACCGCTTACCTGGCTGGGTGTCCAGGATGCGCTGGAGTTGCCAGAAGCTCTGCTGCAGAGGGAAGCAGCAGTGACTGACATACATGTTCTCCCCACAGGCCCGGTGCACCACGGGGCACGAAAAGGCAGCGGGTCAGTAGGTTCCCCTCTCAACAGAGCAGTGAGGGTGGGGAAGAGAGCCTGGGGCCTGATCCCTTCCCCCTCCCATGGATATGCAGGGAAAGGCCCTGCCAGGGCAGGGACCCCCATGGGGCAGACAGGACGTCGGCACCCCAGGTCCCAGCACTTAACTCTGAGAGGAGACAGGAGAGACACACGGGGGCATCATCTGCTTACCACACTCCCTGCTATGGCAGTGTCCAATCACTGTTGCCATGGCTTGCCGTGCTCCCTGCTATGTCCATGCACAGTCACTGTCACCATGACAGCAACCCGGTTACAACGTTTCCTGATACCTCAGCACACAGTCACTGTCACCATGGTAACATCAGCCAGTTGCCTCCATCCCTCACATCACCACCTCACGATCACTTTAGCCAAAGTGAGGATACCTGGCTACCACCATTCCCCACTGCATCGTTTTACCACCCCTCCAGTTACAGGAGTTACCAACAGCCCTCACACAGTTATCATGTAGTCATGGGGACGTCACCCAGTTGTCACCTCTGCACCATTCCTCCAGCCACACTGACACCGTCCAGTTACTAACATCCATGAGTATTGGGGTTTGGGGAGGGAGCTTTCCCCTGGAATGATGAGGGAGAAAATGTCAGACCCCAGTCCCAGCACCCATCTCCCCTGGGTGTGGTACCTACCAGGAACTTGGAGCCTTGGGCAGCCAGAGAGAAACCAAGGGACATGTTCATGGCATCAGGGGGTCCTGACAGGGGAGAGATGCACATCAGGCTGAGCAAATAAACTCCATTCCTGTCCCAGAGTGGAGGATAGAACCGAGAATTCCTGACTCCCAACTCTAACCACTAGCCAATCCCTCTAGCCTGGGACCAGCACTTCCCACAGTTCAGTCCTTGCCCCTCAGATATTTCCAGGTGTAATGTTGTAGGGAGAGTGATGTCCCCCATGATATCATTGTCCACTTTTTATATCTTCTTCCCACTCGCTGGAAAGCTCTTTTTCTGTGACCTGGGACAAACAGTTCCCATTGTGTAGTGCTATCTCTGAGAGGTTTGTATTGTACCCAGTTCCTGGGGTAATCCATGTGCTTATATGCATTTCCTCAATAAGCCATTAAAACTCTTTGGCCTTCTTACTGTTGTACCTGAAAGGCTGCTTGTGGGTGTTGTGAACCTCGCCACACGTTTCAGTAGCACATATGTAGCCAAACTTCATAACTTCACATAGAACGATAACACATACAATCCAATGAGATTAATGTTTAGCAGACCAAGACTTTTAGAATAATCCCTCACAAGACATACTTTGTACAAAAAATATCCTAATTACATGACAGTGGTGAATATTGGGGTGTCAGGGTGTCATAAACAGTGCTACACAGAGATCCCTTTCCCAGAACGAAGAGGCAGCCACCTCTGGGGTGAGGAGCAGGGGCTGTTTAAATAGGTAAGAGGAAATCTTTGGGTTTGTTCTTACCGTGGGAAGCATCATTCATGTCCCCAGAGGTTCTGGGTATGTTGATGAAACTCAGCTTCCCACTGCTCCCGTATAGGTATATCCCATCGCACTACTCATAGGCTCTCACCACTCCCAGCTCTGGATTCCCAGCAGCTCCCCGTGCCACAGAATCATAGAAGATTAGGGTTGGAAGAGACCTCAGGAGGTCATCTAGTCCAACCCCCTGCTCAAAAAGCAGGACCAATACCCAACTAAATCATCCCAGCCAGGGATTTGTCAAGCCGGGCCTTACAAACCTCTAAGCATGGAGATTACACCACCTCCCTAGGTAACCCATTCCAGTGCTTCACCTCCCTCCTAGTGAAAGAGTGTTTCCTAATATCCAACCTAGACCTCCCGCACTGCAACTTGAGATCATTGGTCCTTGTTCTGTCATCTGCCACCACTGAGAACAGCTGAGCTCCATCCTCTTTGGAACCCCCCTTCAGGTAGTTGAAGGCCGCTATCAAATCCCCCCTCACTCTTCTCTTCTGCAGACTAAATAACCCCAGTCCCCTCAGCCTCTCCTCATAAATCATGTGCCCCTAACCATTTTGTTGACCTCCGCTGTACTCTTTCCAATTTGCCCACGTCCTTTCTGTAGTGGGGGGCCCAAAATTGGATGCAATACTCCAGATGTGGCCTCACCAGTGCCAAATAGAGGGGAATAATTAGTTCCCTCGATCTGCTGCCAATGCTCCTACTAATGCAGCCCAATATGCCGGCCATCTCGACCTTGAAAACCCATTCTAAAGCCCCAGGGCCCCTGTGGCCCCTGCCCCAGCTCTGTTACCTTTGCAGGTGAAGATCTTCTCCTGCAGCTGGCTCTGGATGCTCTGGAGGGTGTCGAAATTGTCCACCCGGAAGACATGCTCGTTGGTGGGCTCAGAGGCGATCTCCTGGAGCTCCTGTTGGGCAGTATCACTGGAGAAGGCCTCGCCGACCTTCACGGAGTAGAGGGAGGTACAGGGGAGACCAGGGCATTGGCATCAGTCACAGCTGGGAGCCCTGGACCAACACCCACCCGCCCCGAGCTCTGCTGGGCCTTCTAGAGGCACGGCTCAGCCAGCGCCATGTGCTTCTCCGGTGAGTGGGGGGCTGCTGGAGCCTGGAGTTATAGACCCTGCCTCATTTCAGCACTGAGTTGTGTTGGTTGTCCCAGCAGCAGGGCACAGGGGTCTCCTTGCCATGGGGATTGTCAGCACTCTGGGGACCTGCATGGCTCAATCTCCAGGGCGTAGTGAGGGGTGAGTGCTGCAATGTCTCCGGGGGACGCCTCAGGGCAAGGAGTGAAGGGCCAGGACCACCACACTAGTCCGGGTGGGTTGTGTGCAGTCGGTTCAGCGGTGGAGTCAGAAACCTCCTCGTCGCTGGGCCCGACGTAAACAGCAGACAAAGGTCGAACAAGATCCAATGGCTGGAAGTGGAATTTACACCCATTCCTTTTGGAAAGAAGGTGTCAGGTTTAACCATGAGGGGAATTAACCCTTGGAGCAGCTCACCACAGGCCGTGGTGGATTCTCCATCCCTAGCAATTTTTATCTCAAGGCTGGCAGTTTTTCTAAAAGATTTGCTCTGGTTCCAACAGGGATTATTGGGGTCAGTTCTCTGGCCTGTGCTACACAGCACCTCAAACTAGATCATCGCAAAAGTCCCTTCTGGCCTGGGAATCTATGACTCTAAACCCGAGTTTGTTGATGTAGGACTTACGTCAACCTAACTCTGTAAGTGGCTACACTAAAATGTAGTCCCACCCGTGAAACTCGCCCGCTACACCAACTTCATAACTCCAATTCCACAAGAGGCGTTGTTTTAGGTCAATGTAGTTAGGTTGATGCAGTGTCCGTATAGGCACTGTGTGGCTTACATAGCCTGAGGCTTCAGCTGTTGGCCCCAGGCGGTGGGGCTTCAGCCCCACAATGTCCCGCTCTGACAGTTAAATCAGTAAAAAGTCCCTGGTGAAGATGCACACCGCTGACAGGAGAGTAATGTGGACATGAAAAAACGATTTAATTACTGCGGTGGCTGTGTGACGACGTAACTTAATTCGACTTAAGTGTATCATGTAAACTTGCCCTTCTCCTTGCTGCTGATGCCCATTTCAATCTCTTTGGCTCAGCAGTTTAACAGAGAGAAATGTCAAGTGACTGAGATCAGTTTGGGGAGGATCAGAGCTGTTGTTTGAGTCCCAGGCGGGTGCAAAAAAGACTTTATAAGAACCGAGTGACTTTGCTGTTTAACGGGCGGGGGGTGGGGGGGGGGCTATATCTCAGAAACCCCTTGTTCAAATGATCCCAAATTTAGACCATTAATCTTAACCTGCATCCCCATGAGGCAAACCAAATTTTATGACAATCTGAGTCAGCACGTGTATCGTAGGGCAGTCAGAAAACCCAACCTTTAACTAGAAAGCTTTGCTCAACCTGAACAACAGGGAGGCTCCAGCTCTCCTATAATGTCACACATTGACCCAGTTACAACCCAGGGTCAGTTCTTCTCCCTTATCTGGTGGGAACCTGGACAGGGGCTCAGATCCCTACTAGTTCTCCGCACAGCCACGGCTCACCCCAATGGCGTAGCGGATGATTCCAGCTCTCTCAGCCTCAGGTATGACATCTGAATAAGAAAGCGGGTCTCCAGATTTCTCCCCATCTGTGATCACAATGAGAACCTTGGTGACCTCATCCCGAGCGCCTTTCCCAGAGGTGAACAGCTCCCGCCTGGAAAAGTGGGGTGGGGAATGCATGGGAGGATTATTGATATGTAATAACATGTAGCGCTCGTCCACTGCTTTGGCATTGCAGATCTCAAAGTCATTTACAAGGAGGTCACCTTCATGTCCCTATTTTACTGATGGGGAAACTGAAGCATAGGGCAGGGACGTGACTTGCTTAAAGTCACAACACAACAGAGGCACAGAGTTGGCAATCGAACCCCAAAGTCTTGGCTCCCAGCATCCCCACCCCACTTTAACCTACTAGTCCCCAGTCCCCTCCCACAGCTGGGGATAGAACCCAGGGGATATCCCTTAGCTTGCATGTCCTTGTAGCCCATTCCCTGTGGAGTCAGCACGGGGAGGAAGGCAATACCTACACGACTTTCTGGATGGCTGTGGCCGTGTACGTCGTTCCATGAAGCTGCTCAATCGTCCAGACGAGGTGATCGGGGTCATGACTTCTCCTGTACTCCATGAAGTTGAAGTGCAATTGAAATTTATTGGAGTACTGCATGAGGGCGAACTGCAAGGGGAGGCAGGGGAGAAGAGAGAAAAACAACCCCAGGGGTGGAGGGTAAGAAAAGCAGGCGTCAGACTCAGTTAAGGGCTGAGGCAGTCGGGACGTAGTGGTTCTGTTGGAATTTTTTCCTGGTTTTGGATGCAAAATTCTTTACCACTCCCCCTGCAGCACAGCGCCCCCTAGCACCGCACTGGGGTCAGCACTGACTGCGAGGGGCAGGGCACGTAGTCAGGGTTCAGCTTCTGCCCATTACCTGCGTGTTGGTGCTGCGGAAACGCTTCATGATCTCAGCGAGAAACCTCTTCATTTTTCCAAAGTCCTCAGGTACGATGCTGCCCGAGCTGTCGACGAGGAGCACTATGTCTGTGACATGTCTGGGGCACTCTGAATGGGACAGGAATGAAGTACGTCCTGACTCAACTCCACAAACATGGGAAACCCAACAGAAAGAGCTAGACCAGACCAATGGGCACATCTAACCAGATATCCCGCCCCCTGCTGGCCACCCCGATCAGACCCCTCGGCCCCTCTGTCACAATACCATCCCGCCCCTGCCATGGAGGGGTCCTGAGAGTAGACCATGACATGCACTGGGATGAAAAAAATATACCCCTCCCCCTCCCAGAGCTGGGACAGAACCCAGGAGTCCTGACTCCCAGCTCCTACTGACATCCTGAATCAAACCAATGGGCCCACCTAGCCTGGTATCCCAACCCATATCAGACCCTGGGCACCTCTAGACCCATCTCCCCTCCACCTCCCCACGGCCCTTGTACCCACCCGGGAACCCAGGGTGTAAGTCCCCCCCATACACACCCCCGGGTCACCCCTTACCTGGCTGGGTGTCCAGGATGCGCTGGAGTTGCCAGAAGCTCTGCTGCAGAGGGAAGCAGCAGTGACTGACGTACATGTTCTCCCCGCAGGCCCGGTGCACCACGGTGCACGAAAAGGCAGGGGGTCAGTAGGTTCCCCTCTCAACAGAGCAGTGAGGGTGGGGAAGAGAGCCTGGGGCCTGATCCCTTCCCCCCCGCCCCCGGGATATGCAGGGAAAGGCCCTGCCAGGGCAGGGACCCCCTTGGGGCAGACAGGACGTCGGGACCTAACTCTGAGAGGAGACAGGGGAGACGCACAGGGGCATCATCTGCTTACCACACTCCCTGCTATAGCAGTGTCCAGTCACTGTTGCCATGGCAATGTCAACCACTTGCCATGCTCCCTGCTATGTCCACGTACAGTCACTGTCACCATGACAGCAACCCGGTTACAACGTTTCCTGATACCTCAGCACACAGTCACTGTCACCATGGCAACATCAGCCAGTTGCCTCCATCCCTCATAACATCACCTCACGATCACTGTAGCGAAAGTAAGGATACCTGGCTACCACCATTCCCCACTGCATCGTTGTACCACCCCTCCAGTTACAGGAATTACCAACAGCCCTCACACAGTTATCATGTAGTCATGGGGACGTCACCCAGTTGTCACCTCTGCACCGTTGCTGCAGTCATGCTGACACCGCCCAGTTACTACCATCCATGAGTAGTGGGGTTTCGGGGGGGGGGGGGGGGAACCTGGAATGATGAGGGAGAAAATGTCGGACCCCACTCCCACCACCCATTTCCCCTAGGTGTGGTACCTACCAGGAACTGGGAGCCTTGGACAGCCAGAGACAAACTGAGGGACATGTTCATGGCATCTAGGGACCCTGACAGGGGAGAGATGCACACCAGGCTGAGCAAATAAACTCCATTCCTGTCCCAGAACGGAGGAAAGAACTGAGAATTCCTGACTCTCAGCTCTAACCACTAGACCCCCCCACATTTGGTATAGAACCCAGGAGTCCTAGCTCCCAGCCCCTCTTTCCCCCCGCTTTAACCCACTAGACCCCCCTTCCCTCTCAGAGCTGGGGACAGAACCCAGGAGTCCTGGCTCCCACCCCAATCCTATTGCTGCACCCCACAACACAGGGTGCCCCTACTCTGGATGGGGATCTCCTGGCAGCGTCCGGATCCAGGGTTGCACTTGTAGACTTTGCCGGTTTCGTTCACGTTTCCTGTCTGCAGCAGGCCCCCAACAATCAGCCTGCAGGGAAAAGGTATGGGGGGTCAGGGGATGCCCCATACACCCAGGGGACTGAGGCCCAGGGGAGGCAGCCCAGCCGGACATGCCCCTCAGTGTTGGGCACAAGTCACGTGGGGTCCCATGTCCAGCCCTTACCCCCCGGCACTGGCATTCCCGAACTGCACCACGCTCTGCCCAAACCCCTCAGCTGCCTCCTGGAAGGTGATGGGTCCCTCCACGTCCACGCTGAATCCATGGCTCGGGGCCAGCACTGCAGGGGTTAAACAGTCTCCAGTTAGAGCTTCCCGGATGGAGACCAGGCCAGTGCCTGGGGCTTTCTGGCTATGGGACTGAATTCTAGCCCGCTACTCTAACCCACCAAATCCCACTCCTCTCCCAAAGCCAGGGATAGAACCCAGGCCTCCTGACTCCCAGCTCCTCACCACCTGCTCCCGGCTGTCTAGCCCTCAAGGGCTATTTTATGCAAATCATTCCCCACATTCATTGCATAGTGCCAGACACTCCTATTTAAATATAAATTTCATTAGTAGAGCGCTACCAAATTCAGAGTCCATTTTGGTCAATTTCATGGTCACAGGATTTTAAAAATCATAAATCTCATGATTTCAGTTCTTTAAATCTGAAATTTCACAGTGTTGTAATTGGAGGGGTCCTCACGCAAAAGGAGCCGTGGGAGTGGGGGATCAAAAGGTTATTGGGGGAGGGCTATGGCACTGTACCCTTACTCCTGCTCTGCTGCCGGCGGGGCACTGCCTTCAGAGCTGGGTGCTTGGCCAACAGCCGTTCCTCTCTGGCCGCCCAGCTCTGAAGGCAGCACAGAAGTAAGGGTGGCACTACTGTGACCCCCCTAAAATAACCCTGTGACTCCCCTGCAACACCCTTTTGGATCAGGACCCCCAGTTTGAGAAATACTGGTCTCCCCTGTGAAATCTGTATAGGATTAGGTAAAAGCACATAAAAGACCAGATTTCACAGTCTGTGATATGTTTTTCATGACGGTGAATTTGGCAGGGCCTAATCATGAGTGGATTCAGCGCTGGCGAAGGAAGTCCTAGATTTATCTCCATCCGCTTTCCTGATGCTGATCCATAGCAGATGTACTTCCTGTAGGGACAGAAGGGACAGATCAGTCTTCATAGATTGATAGACTAATGGCCATGTAGCCAGTGGTTTTAGTTATTATTCATTTATTGTACGACATTGTGATTATGTTATATCATAGATATATTCATTAACTAGAGTTATTTTGTAGGATTATAAAAGTATAATTCCTCTAAATACCGAACCAAGTACTAGTGATGACTAAGACAAGCTGAAATGTAAGAACCTGTAGGTTAAAGCCTGAAAGACTTTAGTTTATCTAGTTTAGGCCTTGGAGACAAGAAATGATGACATAAGTGACTGAAAAATAATCCAGTGCCATAAGGTTATGGGAAAAGAGGCACCAAGTGACAGTATTGTGCAAAATTACCCAGAAGATTAATATTAGATCATAAAAATACCATAAAGGCGCATCTGTCTCAGACATGTGTCTTAACCATGGGATACAGCTTGTGCGCTAATGCTAATGAGAATAAAGGGAACTTACCTAGCCTATAGAAAATTGGGGTTCATTAAGTTTCCAGGGGAGACAGACCAATAAGGGAAAAGAGGGTGGACACTTTTATGGACATGCAGAATGTAGGTGTAGACAGAATCACAGTATAAAAAGGGGATGCCCAGAATGAGAAAACTGAGCTCCCTCTGGGAGACTCCAGCAGGAACCATCCCTCTACTGATGATCAAGCCATGAGAGACCCATCAGACCCTAACACTATTGTCAAGGATGTGAGTATAACTATATTTTTAAATTGTGCATAGGTCTGTATAGAATTTCTATATGCGTGGGTAATCATAACTAACTTTAATAAAACTTAAAAATAGACTAGACCTTGTACTGGTGAATTATAGATGGTCATTACCTTTGGTCTCTATGTGTTCCTAGAGGCTCTCAGTTTGAAGCAAGTAACAGAGGTGACTTTCACTCTGTTAAGCTTGAAACTGTAGCCACCAGAGCCGAACCCAAGATGGTGTCACACCACAATATAAAATGTACTTTAAATAAAATAAAAGGCTACATCCAGAAGGGACCATTGTGATCATCTAGTCTGACCTCCTGCATAACACAAGCCAGAGAACTTCCCCTGCATTTATTCCTGATTGAACCAGAGCAGATCTTCCAGAAAAATGTCCAGTCTTGATTTAAAATGTCCAGTGATGAAAAATCCACCACAACTCTTTGCAAATTGTTCCAATGGTGAATAACACTTGCTGTTAAAAATGTCAGCTTTATTTTCATAGGCCATGTCTACACTACCACTTATGTCTGCAAAACTTATGAAAAAAACACACCCCTGAGCGACATAAGTTTCGCCTGCATCAGTGGTAATGTGCAGAATGCGATGGTGGCAGAAGAGCATCTCCCACTGATATAGCTACTCCCGCTTGTTGAGATTGTTTAATTATTTTGACCGGAGAGCTCTCGCCCGTCAGCATAGAGTGGCTACACAAGTGATCTTACATTGGCACAGCTGCATCGATACAGCTGCGCTATTGTAGACATGGCCTTAGTTTGTCTAGTGTCAACTTTCAGCCATTTGATCATGTTAGACCTTTATCTGCTAGAGTAAAGAGACCAGTATTAAATATTTGTCCTCCTCATAGCTACTCAGACTGGGATTAAATCAGCCCTTAACCTTCTTTAACTAGACTGATCTCCTTGAGTCTATCACTATGAGGCAGGTTTTCCAATCCTTTCGTTAGTCTCATGGCACTTCTCTGACCCCTCTCCAATTTATCAACATCCTTTGTGACTTCTACCTGAAAGGCACCTGAACTGGATACACTATTCCAGCAGCAGTCACCCCAAGGCCATGTACAGAAGTAAAAAACCGCTCTGCTCCTGCTCGAGGGTCCCCTGTTCATGCACACAGAGAACGCATTAGCCCTTTTGGTCACAGCGTTGCATTGGTAAGTTTGTGTTGCAGGAGCCAGAGCTGAGACCCTCCAAACTCATGTCACACACAAAACACCAAACAGCTAGTGGCTGGCTACACTGAACCCCAAACACACAGGGTAGCTAACTCCCCTGATGCAAAGCTCCCCCGATGGGACTGGCTGGGAGAAGTGGATGAGTGGGGAAACCCCTCCTTGAATGGCTGTCTTTCCCCACATCCCCCACCTCCTGGAGAAAGGCAAGCCAATCAGGGCTTCTGCACTGGGCAAGCAAGGCCAAGAGTAATTGTGGGAGAGAAGTAGGGAGTGTAATAATCTGTCAGGGTGGCTCTGCTCTCCTCCCCTTGCCCCTGCCTACTCCATCCCTGCAAACCCAGACCTGGGAAACAGAGTCCGCTGCTTGGAGCTGCCCCCTTTAGGCTTGGAGGCGGTAAAGACCCTCCAGATTTGCAGGAGGAGCAAATGTGGGGCAAGGTCGGGTGCAGAATTGTGGGGCTGGTGGGTGGGGTTGGAAAATTGTGGGGCTGGCTGGACAAAAGGGAGTGCTGGGAGAGCGGGGGCAGGCTCCCCCAATTTCCCCTTCTTAGGCCTCGTCTCCCAGTGTGCCTCAAAACCCCAAGTCTGTCATCCTTATTCTCAACCACCACAAAGTCTGCCCTCCCCCATGCCCTGCGAGGTCCCAGCCTCACAGACAGAGCTGACATGACTTGGAAGGAGGAGGAACCTCTGGTAACCTTATAGCAGGTCCGTGCCAACCACGTCCACTTCCTGCCCACCAACCCCATCCCTGGCCCACATCCTACCAAGCACACATGCTGCACAGAGGGAGAGTCATACATACCCCAATGCCCTCCCAAAGAGACCCAACAAATGGCCACATCTCAGTGCCGGGTGAGCGAATCACTGTACAAACAGCTCCTATGCCCCACCCCAGAAGTGGCTGCATCCCAGAGCCAAATAATTTCAGGGATTCCATGCCAGCAAAACATGGATTTCATGTGCATTGTAACGTGTTTTGATGTGGTATTTTCTAATAAACAACCTTCAGTGAATGAGAATTATAATCCAGTGTCAAAACATAGTCTTCACCTGTGTATGCAAATAGATCCACACCAACTTTAGACCACGCCCTGAACTGGTCATCGCTTATCAACATAGCCTCTTTTACTCTGTTTAGGTTGGCACTGGGGGCCTGTTTCACACATTTTAACAATTTTTCTCTATCATTGTTCATTTGTGGCCAGTACCATATCTCTCCGGCTCTGCACTTACATTTCCCCATGTCCAAGGGTCCTTCATGTCCTCTTGTGAGCATGTCATCTTGGAACATCTTGATATGTAATGTCTTGGCCATCTGACGTTAATAGCCTCGAATACCCTCTGTAAACTCTTGTCATTAGCTGTAGCCTCAGCAAATTCACTCCAAAACCTTTCTGAGACTGAGCACCAGACTCCACATCCCTCTTAGAGCTAGGGATAGAGCCCAGGAGTCCTGACTCCCAGATCCTTCAAGCTTCCCTTTTCTCTAGTCCTTAAGGGCCATTTTACGTGCATCGTACCCTGCATTCATTTGCATAGCAGCAGAAACTCCCAAGTGAAGACTAACCATCATGAACGGATTTAGCACAGGTGAATGAAGCCCTTGATTTATCTCTTGCTGACCCAGATTCATAAGAGGAGGCGGGGAACATTTTTTGTAGGGTAGCAGGGGCAGAGCAGCCTTCATAGAATTACAGACCATAACTCCAGAAGGAACTGCTTTGAGCATCTAGTCTGACCTCCTATGTAACACAAGCCAGAGAGCGTCTCTGAATGAATGCCTGTTTGAACCAGACTGGAACATTTAGGGAAAGATCCAGTCTTGATTTAAAATTTCCAGTTCAGGGTGTTAGACCCTCAGCAGGGGCCTTTTTACGGGATGGGGGAGCAGGCAGATACTGGACACAGTGTTGCTATATATAAATACTTTTTATGCTTTACAAAATGGATCTTATTTACTTTACATTTATACCCCAAACATACTACACCATAGCCCAGTAGTTAGACATTTTGATGTTTAGTTGGGGTTTAGTTTAGTTACAAGGTGCGGGGAGTTTACAAGTACCACACCATACATAAACTGGGCTTTGGATTATTGAAAGACTATAAATTGCAAATGTGTGAAGCTTTTATTTATAATTTACTTTGTGACATTATTAGATTTTTGTTTTTGTTGTTTTGGGCCTTTACCCTTTGTTTTAAAGCGACAATTTTGGGCAGGCTGACACAATCCAAGGCATTTATACATTTTTATAGCAGTTCCACTGGTGTTATTTCCTTATCTGCTGATTCTTCATTTTTTCCAAGGACATAACAAAGTTGTTTGTTAAAAGATGGGGGGGGGGGAGGGGGGGGGGGGGGGTTCTCACCCCCCCCCCAAAAAAAAGGAACACCCCCTTTTTTTTTCTCACCCCCCAAAAAACCCCTTTGGGGGGGGAAAAACAACCCCTGGTTTTTAGGGGAAAAATCAAAACACCCTTGCTTTCCCCCCCCCTCAAATAGGTTTTGACTGCTTGACCTTTAAGTTCTTGCTTTGGTTGCCAAAATGCAGGACATGCACTCTGGTTTCAAACACACAACAGCCACACTCGGCCCCATAGCATATATCATCTTACATATTATATCCCAACAAGGGAATCCACCACAAACCTTGGTGAATTGTTGCAGTAGTTAATTACTCTCGCTGTTAAAAATGTTACGCCTTATTTCCAGTCTGAATTTGTCGAGCTTCAACTTCCAAGGCATTGGATTGTGTTAGTCCTTTGTCTGCTAGACCAGGGGTTCTCAACCTTTTTCTCTCTGAGGCCCCCCTCGACATGCTATAAAAATTGCAGGGCCCAGGGGGACAGAGGGGCCTTGGGCATAGGTGTAGTTTGACTTCTATTTGGGGGGGACAGGGGACAGTGGGGTTCAAGGCCCACATAGCAGTTTCCAGGAAGGGAGTGCTACCTCCACCTTCTGACTCACCTCAGCAGGCCACCCAGTCTGTCTGGGTTGGGGGGGCAACCAAAAATTATAACTCAAAGCTGGGGGGCTTAGCTCAAAAAGTTTGAAAACAGCTTAGGGTGCAGGGAGAGGGTAAGTAGGGTCCGTATGTGGGCAGGGGGGTGGGTAGCTCAGGGTGAAGGGAGGGGGTAGCTGGGGCTGTGTGTGGGCAGGGTAGCTCAGGATTCAGGGAGGACATAGCTCAGGGTGTAAGGAGAGGGGTATTAGGGACTGTGCTGGGAGGACTCCCCTGTGGTCCCTGTTCCCGGAGGGGTCCGCCAGCCACGGAGCTGGGGGGCTCTTACCGGCTGCCACTGCGGGAGCAGAGGAGGCTGGGAGCTTCAATCTAGGGCACCAGCAGGAGAGGCAAGACAGCTGCTGCTGCCTGCTCCATGCACCAGCCAGAGCAGCAGTTATCCCACATTGCCGGGCTCTGGCTTCCTGCCTCTGACCTGGCCAGGCGGCGGGGACTGGGGAGGGATTGCGCCTCCCCCAGCTTCAGCCCCACAGTGGGGCACCGGTGATTGGGGCTTCTGCCGCAGGGCCCAGCAGCCTCCTTGAAAGGGCTCGCGGACACCCTGTGGGCCGTGGACCCCTAGTTGAGAACCGCTGGGCTACACTGAAGAGTCCATCATCAAACATTTTTCCCCAGGTAGGTATTTATAGACGGAGATAAGCACTCCTTAGTCTTCACTTCGTTAATCTAAATAGTGATAGTTTGAGCTCCTTGAGTCTATCGGGCAGGTTTTCTAATGTTTCAGTCATTCTCATGGCTGTTCTCTGAACCCTCTCGAATTTATCAACATCCTTCTTGAAGTGTGGGCTCCAGAACTGGCCACAGGAGTCCAGCAGTGGTCACACCAGGACCAAATACAGAGGGAAAATAACCTCTCTAGTCCTTCCCGAGAGTCCCCTGCTTATGTATCCAAGGATTGGCCACAGCATTGCACCGGTAGCAACTTGGCCCAGGCAGATCTTGGTCTCTGCCGAGTCTGTCAATTAGTGCAGGGTGGCCTGGCAAGCTTGTGCCATGGGAGCCACAACTGAGACCCACCAAACTCATGTCACACAAGAAACACCAAACAGCCAATCAGTGGCAAAAGTGAATCCCTAACGCACAGCGTAGCCAACTCCCCTAATGCAGAGCTCTCCTCCCTTCTGCCCTCACCCTCCCTGCAAGGCCAGGCCTGGGAAGGAGAATCCCCTTGGAGTTGCCCCCTCCAGGCCTGGGAGGTGGTAAAGGCCCTCCAGCGCTATAGGAGGAGCAGATATGGGGCAAAGTGGGGCTGGGTGGGTGGGGTCTGGGGGCAAAGGAGCTGAGGGTGGGGGAGGAGCTGAGGTGGCCTCCCCCATTCTTCCCTTCCTCCCTTTTCAAGCCCCATCTCCCAGTCTTTCCCCACTTCCCAACCCATCCCCCTCATCCTCATCCACCCCAAAGTCTGCCCCCCTCCATTCCCTGATGGGTCCAGGCCTCACAGACAGCAGAGATGTGACCTTGAAGCGGGGGGAAGCGACTGTGGTTTTACACAAGGACTGAGCCATTGCAAACACTGCATCCACTACAGACCTGCTGGACTCTCCCCAAACCCGCCCCCCACCCCCCACATCCTACCGAGCACACACGTCCCACAGAGAAAGGGAGTGGCACCTGTGACCCACTCCCATCCCAGAGAGTCTGGGGGGAACAGAACAGAGAGGAAAGTGAACCCAGGAGTCCTGATTACCAGCCCTCCCCCCACAAGTCACGAGAGCCCCATTCCCCTCCCAGAGCTGAGGAGAGAACCCAGGAGTCCTGATGCACAGGCCTCCTGCTGTAACCCACCGACCCCACTCCTCTCCCAGAGCCAGCCAAGGATAGGAGCCAAGAGTCCTGAGCGTCCAGCTGCTCCCATCCCCCTGCCAGAGGGGTACTCGCTGGGCACCCATGTGGAGGAGCCCAGCGTTTCCCAGGCCCTCTGGCTGGCACTTACCTGTGCACAGGTAGAGGAGCAGAGCCAAGGGGTCCATCCTGTACTGGGTGAGGGCTGTCTATAGAGCAGGGATGCTCCTGTAGGAGGTGTGAGGTTCAAGGGCGGTGTCTGGAGAGGAGGCAGCAGAATGCAGAGGAAAGAGAAGTGCTCGCTGAAAAGAGAGAAAAACTGTCAGGGTGGAGGGGGGACTCAGGGTGTTATAGGGAGGGAGCAGAATGGAGAAGACAGGGGGAAAAGTCAGCGACACTGGAACACTCAGCTCGTCAGACACACAGACAGCTGTATGGAGGCAGATGAAAAACAAATAAAATGGCCAAACTCCGCCCCCCTGAACTCTCCCCTCCCGCTTCTCCTCCATGCTAGTGGTCAGCTAGTCATTTTCCACCCTCCCCTCCCTCCTCCGCCCTTTGTAAATTCAAACCCCCCTAGTTTCAAAACTTGGGGAAAACACTGCACACACACACCTATCCTAAAACAAACACACACGCAACCATACAGACAGACAACTGGTCAGACACACAGCTACACTGAGACAGAAAACAGATACACAATTAGAAAACCAACTGCAGTGAGACATTCACACAGCTAAACAGACACACTCACAAACTCAGGGCCATCCTTGGGCACACACAGAATATTCAGCTGTATAGGGCGGGGCACCTGAAAATTTGGAGCACCCCGGGTCTTAATATCCACCCATCCGCCTCCTCCTATGCCTGTTTTATGGATGCTGCAGCCTGGTGAGTTTTCCTCTGGAGAGGATCTAGGTCTTGTCTACACTAGCAAGTTGGAGCTCATTAAATCGTCCCCGGGCGCCATAACGCCTGAGGTGTCCACACTGGCAAGGCACGTAGCGCGCTCGCACCCCGCGGCTGGAGCACCCCTGGGAATCCACCTGCCCAAGAGGCATAGAGCTTGCTGCACCCGGGCTGGAGCACTGCAATGCCAGTGTGGACGCCCTGGTCTATTACTGCGCTCTGATTGACCTCCGGGAGACATCCCACAATGCCTGTTCTAGCCACTCTGGTCATCACTTTGAACTCTACTGCCCTGGCCTCAGGTGACCAACCATCTCTGGGAAATTTGAAAGTCCCCTTCCGTGGAGTGCTCTCAGCGAATCTTTCCAGGTGACCATGTCTCCACCCACCAGGCGATTCCTGGCATGGAGCGATGCCGAGGTGCTGGACCTCATCAGCGTTTGGGGAGAGGAGGCTGTCCAGTCCCAGCTGTGCTCCAGCCACAGGAATTACGTTACCTATGGGCAGATATCAAGGGCCATGACCGAAAGGGGCCATGACCGGGACGCAGTGCAGTGCAGCGTTAAAGTGAAGGAGCTGCGGAACGCCTACCACAAGGTGCAGGAGGCAAACCGCCGCTCCGGTGCTCCCCCACGACCTGCCGGTTCTACAAAGAGCTGGTCGCGATACTTGGGGGCGACCCCACCTCCATTCCGAAAAGCACCATGGACACTTCAGAGGCCGTTCCAGCCCAGAGTGCAATGAGCCAGGATGAGGAGGAAAGTGGGAGCGAGGGTGCTGAGGAAGAGAGGGTGCCCAGAGCCAGAGGACGACTCACCATCCCTAGATGCATGCAGCCAGGAGCTGTTTTCAAGCCAGGAGGAAGGTAGCCAGTGGCAGCATCCAGTGCTTGGGGAAGAGGAAACAGCAGAGGAGGTGCCCGGTAAGCGGCTTTGATTTTGTGAAGGGAGTTGTTGGGTGTGGGCTGTTGGGGCGAGGAGGGTTGCAGAAAGAAGGGTTAGGCTGTGTGCATGCCTAGATGTGGAATAGGGCATGGATGTACTCTCTCACATCGCGGTAATCGGCCTCAGTGACTTCATCGAAGGTCTCATGCAGAAGCTGGGCAATCCATTTACACAGGTTCCTTGGCAGAGTTACTTGTGCTCCTTGTCCCAGTAAGGGTAACATACCCATGCCACTGTGCCGTGAGGGGTGGGGGGACCATTTCCGCACACAGGCAAGCTGCATAAGGGCCAGGGTGGAAGCCGCATTGTAGCAGAAGACCCTCCCTTGCTTCCCAGGTCACCCTCAACAGCAAGATATCTTCCGGGATGAACCAAGCCTGTGGAAAATTTGGGGACAGTGTTGGGTATAGGGGCCCCCTGCACCTGTTGGCTCTCCCCAAGACAAAGGACCCCAGAGGACAGTATTGTCTGGAACAATCAGTTTCCCCTGCCCTTGTGGTTACTCACCATTTTGGGGCTCTTGTGGGTTATGTGCGCTCATCTTGGGACAGGCAGTTTGTGCTATTGTGTGAACTGTGCTTGTCTTTAAGATCAGCCAAATTATTGCCCTGTCTAGTGTGAACAATGCTGCCTCTGTAAAATGTCGCATTTTGGCCTCACAGATGCAACCTTGAGATCCCAGGCCATCCTTGTTATCAATGGCCAAATGGCTACACAGCCTCAGGAAATGGCCATGAAGAAGCAAGGAGGACCTTCTGCATGAAGTCATGCCGCAGTCCCTTGCTGAAAATCAAAAATTCCAGGAGTGGCGGGAGAGCGAAAGGAGGCTCCGCCAGGAGAATGCGGACCGCCGGCAAGAAACCACGGAGCGGCTCCTAAGCATTATGGAGCGCCAAGCAGACTCGATGCAGGCGTTCATAGCGCTGCAGACAGAGCAGATCTGTGCCCACTCACCCTGCAGTCCTTGTCACAAAACTCTTTCCCTTGCGCCCCCATGTCACCGCCAACTTGCTTTACCCAACTTCCAGTTTCTTATTGCCACCAGCTGCCTCCATCACCTTTACCTTCACCGTCCACCCCTGCAAACTCCAACCCCTACCCACTGCACTCAACCCCCATCCCCATGCAGTTTAGCCAGCCTGAAGAGCAGCACCCATTGCAGGGCACTCCAGACAGGAAGGCTGAATACAATACCAGGACATACGCAAATCTTTTCTTTAGTGGGGGGACCAAAACTGGATGCAATACTCTCGGTGTGGCCTCAGAGAGGGGAAATTTTGCCAAAGAGAGGGGAATAATCAATTCCCTCCATCTGCTGGCAATGCTCCTGCTAATACAGCCCAATATGCTGTTGGCCTTCTTGGCAACAAGAGCACACTGCTGACTCATATCCAGCTTCTCATCCACTATAATCCCCAGGTCCTTTTCTGCAGAAAAATATCTCAGTCTGTTTGGAAAGAGCCCAGCACTCCAGCGATCACTGCTGCTGATACTGTTCTTAAGGCTGTTAACAAGTTCTGCTATCTTGGAAGTGTACTCTCCTCCAGTATAAACACTGATGACGTTGTAACGGCTCGACTAGCCAAAGCCAGCAATGCCTCTGGAAGATTGACTAAACGCCTATGGAATGATCCTGGTGTTAAACTTCATAGGAAGGTCATTTGTCAGGCAGTTGGACAGTCAGCAGTTGTCTTGACTGTCCTGTTGTATGGATCGTAGTCATGGACCATATATCGCCGCCACGTTTCGAAATTTGATCAGCTCCATGTGCGCTGCCTCAGGAAGATCGCCCATATGAACTGGTGGGACAGAATTCCAAACACGGAGGCCCTTATGCTGTGTGGTATCAAGGGCACGGAAGCAATGCTTATGAACAAACAGTTTTGTTGGATTGGTCATGTTATGAAAATGGATGACACGTGGATACCGAAGATGGTCTTCTCCTGCCGTGTTGTTTGTGGAAAACGCTCCATTGGTGGTCAGTATAAGCGCTGTAAAGATGTCTTAAAGGTCACCGTGAAGTCATGCAGCATATTTCCCAATGATCTGGAAATGATAGCTCGGGACAGATGGTTCTGGCAGCAAACTATTACACAGGCTTTCAAACACTTCTATAGTCAGTGTATCCAGACATTACAAGAAAAGCATAGGGTTCCAAAAGGGTGCATGGCACCCACAGGAGGCGGGTTTTTATGTGACATCTGCGATCGGATTTGCCGATCGAGGATTGGCCTAGTCGCTCACCAGCAGTGTCATAGAAGATGGCTCAGTCCATATATAAACAGCCACCACCCCCTGCTACAGAGCCAGCTGATGCCCATTCACTCTGGTCCAGAGGAAAGCAGACAGGAGAGTTGGTCAGTTCAGAAAAAAGGGGGAATTAGAGATGCTGCTACTATCTCCAATTCTTGTCTGCGGGGCCAGCCTTGTGGTTGGATCTGGGGATGGGAGGGAAGGTGCGGCATGGCTGTGCCTGGCCTGCAGCTCCTCTAGGCAGGTGCGGCATACTCAGGGCTTCAGCCAGCCCAGGGCTCCTCCGGCTGATGGGAGGTCATTCAGGGTATGTCTGGGTGGGGGGATTCTGGCTCTGGCCATGGGCGGGGGGAGGGGTCTCTGGGTTCTGGTCGTGGTGGGGGGAGGTGGATGGGGCAGAGACAGGGGCTAACCTCCCCAAAGGGGGGCTCCACCCACCATCCATGGTGTTATCCCTTTTGTATTGAGTGGTTAGTCAGTATTCAAGGTCATGGGTTTTTTTTTCTGTTAGAAGGCTAAATTGATGATGGAGTCAGGTATTTCTTTGACACTATCCTGTTTGTTTACAACAAACATGGAAAGTCCTGTTTCCCTGAACACAGCAAGAATCAAATAGCCAGAGGCGGCAGGTTTCTACAGTTTTTGGTGGTGCCCAGAATGGGTCCAAGTCCTGCCCCCAAGACACACACACACCTGCTTTTTAAGGGTTGGGGGTGAGGACTCTGGCTCTGGTGTGGGGCTGGGGATGAGGGGTTTGGGATGTGGAGGGGCTCAGGGCTGGGACAGAGGGTTGGGGTGCGGGCTCTGCTGGGGATGCGGGCTCTGCAGTGGGGCAGAGCAGGGGATACGTTGGTCGGTTGGTGCATGTGTATGGAGATCCTTCCTTGTAGAGTAATTAAGAACCTGTGAATGTCCCCAGGTGGGAGGTGAAATGACTTGGCCCCAGGGGAGCAAGCGGCAAATGCCACTGCAGCACCCAGATCGGTTTCAACTGGCAGGAAAACACATTGCAAAGCCCTGGTTTGGTTGCCCCTTGCCTCTCTATTCTCTCTCTATTCCCGCGCAGGTCTCATCTCTGCTGGCAAGCAGCTCCCCGGGGGCGATTGCTGTGTGTATGTGAGAGGGCTGATGAGGACAATGGGGTCCCCTCGGCCGAGGGAATGCACCGCAGAGCAAGCAGCGGGCAGGGGAGATCTGAGGAGCTGCTGGGGAAGCGCTGTGCGTTAATACCAATGGGCGCAGATCCAAGTTTAGAACAACCTGAGGTTTTAA